AATTATTATTCTTCACTACAAAAAACGTGGTTTTTAAAAATATATATTTTTATTTAGATTATTTTTCTTCGTCAAGAGTAGTCAAGACTACTACAAGACCACTACTAAAATAATAGAACTTCCATTTTAAATTAGGGATACAAAAATCTTTATAGAAAAACAATACCTTTACGACTTTCATTCGTTTTATGCTGATGACAACCAAAGCAATCTGGAAATGAATGAGGAAAAACTGGATCCTACCACGGGATATTTCTGCCAATGAAAATACGCCGACAGTAAAAATCTTTTTACCTGACATGTAATACTAATTTGAAATAATGAAATCGACAACCAAAGACAATCTCGAAAACAATTTTTTTTTTAATTTTAATTTTATTTTACTTTGTATGTCTTTTTTCTCTTCATTTTCATGCATTGTCATCCAATTCTGAACTATGTACCAAATTTGAAGTTCGTAGCTAGTCGGGAAGTTAGTTTAAAATCGATTACAAAATTCCACCCGGACAGACATACACGAAGGCAAGTTTATATAAAACGTGGTAAAATATGAGTAAATGCAGTATAAAAAAACAGTTAATATCGTACATAAAAGGATTCGTTGCAGTTTTCCATTGTTGTCAGCGGATTTTTATTGGCCGGAAAATCACGCGGAAAGATCCGAGTTTTCCCTCATTTATTACCCATTGTATTTGATGGCCTCCTCACTTTTCAACTACAATAATTAAGTAAACAGTGCGCATGCTTTGCTATGGCGACCTCTACTGGTTGATAATTTTTTAGAATTCTTTTTTTCACTTTTAATTTTGTTATGCCCTAAGTTGGTGAATTTATTTTTGAGATATGGGACCAGAGAGATCCCATAAATACTTCTTGAGTTGTGAATAGAAGAGAATTCCATCATTTGAACGATATTTTTGCTTTTATTGTTTCAATTAAGAATCAGAAATTCTAACCAACAGTTCAAACTGGATCGTATTCAATACTAATTCAGGTGAATATCAGAAATAAAGAGGGTCCGAACTGATTGACACGATCCCAAAAGTTAAAATTAAATCAAGAAAAAAACGATGTCAAGGCCTGAACTTACTGAGGCTGAAAAAGCCAAAGAACACAGACGGGAATACCTTACCTTAAGCGTTACACAAACGGAAAAACGAAAGGATTCCGTTTGCTAACGCAAGCATGATGCCTGTCCCTCACCAAAGTGGTTGAGAGAATCGAACCCTACCGAAGAGTGAATGGTGACTCTCCGAACCCCTTTCACGCAAATACGAGAACTGGGTGTTGATCACTAGTTAAGAATAAAAGGATCCATTATTAACGTACCCAATGACTTGCACAAGACCTTAGACTGTCTTCCACGCAATATAAATGATTCATTCACTGTTCATGTAAATTTGAAAAGGAAAAAAAAAAGCCTAGCTTTCAAATCCTATTTCGCGTATGAAGTTGCGAATCCGAAACGGGTGTATGATGCAGCTTACAATCTCCATTAAACACCATTGTACAAATCTGAAAATATGCTAATATTGATCTCGATTGGCTATTCAATGCCTATTCAATCATCAAAAGAATTTACACAGATTGTGTCTGAGCTGCATTCAAATATGTCTGTGAAATTGTGTACCGAGCAGTTCAGGATTAACAGTTAAAG